TAAATTAAATTTATTATCAAGAAAAGAACAGGTAATTCCTAAATAACCTTGACGATTTCTAGCTGTCCAAAGATCTAGGGTTAAAGATACTGATTTTGCTTGATCTTCAATAATTTGTTGTAATTTTGAAAAAGAAGAATCAAATGCTGCATATATAATAGCTTTTATAGTTTCTGTACAAGGAATAATAAAAGCTGGATCTAATTGAAAAATAAATTGACGAAATTTTGAATTATTGACAATATTAATTGGTTGAATATCATCAATTATCCAATCAACGAGAAATTGACGTAATTCTTGTTGTTTTTTCTCTGAATATTGACGCCTGTGTACTATTACATCTTGTTTTTCTAAATTATCTGACTATAATTTTAATAAAAAAAAAAATTAATTAACATAATTAGAATGTATTATATTAAATAAATTAAATAAGAATTTTTTTAAAAATATTTAACAAACCTTATTAATTTTACCATTTTTATTAATATCATGTTGATTTCTTAAATGAGTTATTGCATTACCAGTAGAACCACGGCTTTGAATATATATTTTTCCACATGGAGTTTGATGAATATCATCTATAACTTTACAGACTATCACTTGACGCTGTTCACCTTGTATTTCATGCACTTCTTCGTTCCAATAATTCCAAATCCAACTAGTTTTAGCATGAGTATTTTTTTTATCTACCAGCTCAGTTTCATTAAGTGATTGTATATTCATTTTAATTGAAAAAAAAAATTTAAATTGAGTTTCGTTAAACTTGATTGAATTTTATTGATTATCACGTTTTTGTTACAAATTCACATAGCTTAAAACATGTTAAAACTTGTTAAAAACTCCGGCTTATCACATGATTTATCATTTTATTTCAGTATTGTTTTAACTTTTTTTTATTCAGCTTAGTTTTTTTTGTTATATAATAAAAAATTCTGTTAGTTACGATAAAAATCTAAAATTAAAGAGTTAAAAAAAAAAAATAAAAGAATACTCACATATTGACAAATATAAATAGCTATATTTATTCATTATAGTTGATGCTCTATAGAATTCCATAAGATAACCTAAAAAATAAACACGTTAGTAAAAATATTAAAAAAATTTTTATAGTTGTAAGAAAAATTGAATTATACATACTTGTACCAACTTTAGTTAGCAAATAATAAAGTTAAACAAAGGAGTAGTATCGAGCTGGTATTAAAAATCCTTTACTAACCTCCAAGGAGGAAAGGAAAAGTTGAAGACCTTCAAGAAAAATTCGTAAAAAAAAAAA